GTGAGAACAGATGATGATGATGACAGTGATGGTGATGTTATACTAACCGGAAGAAAACTGTGCAGCAAAGATAGACCCTCAACGTCAGCCAGTCCCAGCTGCACCAGAGAAATGATGACGAGGATAAAGTCGAAGATATGCCAGCGCACCTGTAACCACGACAACAAACAATCACAAATGTTTCTTTGAAAATGGCAGATCGCTGAACTGTTGAGAAGAAACTACAAATCTGACCTGGAAGTATCCATGCAGGCCCAGTGCGACAAGTTTGATGATCATCTCAGCTGCAAAGATCACACGGAAGACCTGCACAGTTCAAAGGGGTCAGAGGTCACAGGGTAGAAGCATGTTTTGCATCCAATTCATCCAACCATCGGCAGACAGGCGAACGAAAAACCTCGAACACACCGAGTCCCGTGCAGAAGTAGAAGTTCCAACAAAACAATAATTTTCCTGTGAAATGTCACCCATGTAAAGGTAGATCACTCTGACCAGGCATCACTGTTACTGCAAAGACTCACGGTGTAAATAAACCTCAGTAAAGCTCCCTCTGAATCCCAGCTGATCCTTACTTTTCTCGAGACTTGCCAGAGGTTTATGCTGTACCCCCGTTACATTTTTACCTCACTGTGCTGCTTTTCCTCTCAGTTATGCAGGTCGTTTACAGGTTTGTACCGTTGGTTTGTTTCCATTTGTGATGTAGTTGCTCTGAGTGGACATTTTAAACCACTCTTGCTAGGTGGCTGAAGAACCCGCTAAAAGCATTCATCACTAAATTGGTCATGGAGGCACATCGAAGAAGAACATATGGTCCCTCCGACTGATCAAGTCTACACCAAACTAAGGGAGCAGAATGGAAAAGTCCTGATTTTAGCCTGCAGTGAAGAAGCTGCCATTAAATTAACCAAGTAGGAGATAACAGGGTCTGCAGACACTTCTTCAACACTCACCAGCTCAGCGATGACCAGGGTCTCCATGAACTCCTCCATCATAGGGTAATGTTCCATGGCTGTGAAGATGGTGCTAACAATGATGCAGATGATGATGACCAGGTCAAAGAAAGGGTTCGTGATAAAGGTGTGAAACTGCTGTTTGAGCCATCGCCAGCAGCCACAACAGTCCCCCTTCAGGAAGGCGTCAGTGCAGGTGCAGCACAAAGGCCGGTGGTGCTCCTCTGCCTCTGCAACACAAAGCTACTCTGTGAGGCCACAAACTGTGTCAGCATTAAGTTGTCTGCAGAGCCTCGGCTCTTCGCGTTTGTCTGTGACTGCTCTCAGTGACAGAGCGTGTTGTCCTGTCCCAATGAAGGAAGGTGGAGGTTAAAGAGGTGGAGGTAAATATCTGTTTACCTTCAACGTATTCTTGCTTAGTAGCTCGTATACCAGCTGATTTCTTCTTCTGCAGTGAGTCCTGTTGCTCTGGAGTCTCTGCCCTGCTGGAAGCCTGCTGTCCATAACAAAACACCCAAACTCAGTTATGCTAAATGACGATTTCAGCAGAGCCATCCCACAGTACTCTGAACAGTTTCCAAACAGGGTTATTTTGTCTCAGAAAGGTCACGGCTGACACAATAAGTTGAGAAGAAGCTGGTGAAAGGTTTTTGGAACAGCTGGATTTTAAATGCTGCCGACAGGTCTGCAGGATTGGTCACATGCTAGACACAGAAGGATATTTAGATGAAGAATAGGACGTGTTTGATATATGAACAGAACTAAAGCC